CTCTAGACATTGCTAGGAGAATAACATACCACACGCTCACATGAAGCGGACAAAATTCTCGGCCAATGAAGAAGCCAGACCAAATTCCTTGAAAACAGAAATTGAAAAAAAGCGAAAACATAGAAAAACTTTTGATTCGATCTTTCATTGCATAGAGAATGTCTTCATCTTCCAAAATCGGATCTTGAAGGGGGTTGGGGATGGCCGCCTAGGGTTTCCCCTATGGCCCTAGGGCCGGCTCTCTATCACGCGGCACATAACATTATACTATTCAAAATCATGGTCTAAATTTACAAGATGACAATGTTTTTTGCGACAAAGGTAGTATTAAAGAAAGCCAATACTGAAGCAATGTAATCAACATGTGTCCACAACAACAACAACAACAACATCCAAGCTTTAATCCCAAAAGATTTTGGGATCGGCTAACATGAATCGATCCATGATATCGATGCCAAAAAAGAAGACATACAAGAAGTAAAAAAAGATAAATGAATAAGATAAAGATAAATAAATACGGAGTATAAGATAACAATAACATAAGAATAAAAGACAGATAAAAGATTAGAAGATAGAAGAGCATAAAAAAGCTAGAAGTATAAATAACATAAGAACATAAAAAGATAAAGAAGATAAACGAAAAAAGAAAAAGAGAAAGGAAAAAAAAGCATGTGATGTGACTAAGTGATATTGTTGGCCATCACATGCTTACCACAACACCCTCCACCTTAATCCTGACTTGGGACAGCCGGACAGGTATGATACAAAAAAAAAAATCAACAAATGTCCAGACTCCAGAGCATAGGAAAATTGAAATATATGGTAAAGAACAGTGCAGTCATATGACTACAACATCACGTAGTAAGAGAAGTCTGGTCAAGTGAGTGAGTGTTGCTTCAACACACTCCAGTAAATGAGTGCTAGGAATTTTCAAAATGCATAAATAAAACAAAGAACTCCAAACGATTATTTTTCAATATACTATACAATTGTACATCGGCAAGCTGAAAAGTTTAATCAATGCTCAAGACCTAAAGAAGCACAACTCATTAACCATTCTATCTTTGATAGTAATGTTGATCCATGAAAACGTTGCACAGCGTAATTTGGTAGAGAAATAATAATAATAAAAAACAATGAATTTTAAAATGGTTTCAAAATTTAAAACCCAAGTAATTGGTTTTGACACCACAAAGAAGAGTGACTCGAGGAGACTCATATATGTAACCGAACGTTAGCCTAACAAATGTAAAATGGAAAATGGCATTGCTATGGCTTCCTGGTTGGCTCTAAAAACTCATGCGGTTTACACGAGATTGAGAAAAAGGTCCTTCTACGGTACCTCCATTAATAAGAAGTGTACAAGTACATTTGCTGAGAGCCTATATCATACAACCGGGTGTACGTACACCCGGCCCAACTAAGGAAGACATCCCAACAATCAATACAGGCCAAATTTTTTCGGTGGCAATTTTGTAATTTGAGCGAAAAATCGCGGCTTCCGCTAAATGAGCAATAGTGTAATCTTAGAGGTAATTCCATAAAAAGGAGTAAAAACGTTTTGAAACTCCAAAATAGGAGTATCATGTTTTTTATTTCTTGAATATGAGTAATCTGCCAAGTTTGGAAAAAACTGTCATCTTTAAAGCCTTGTAAAACCAAACTTGGCAGAAATTTACTCCTATTCAAGGAATAAAAAACATGATACTCCTATTTTGGAATTTCAAAACATTTTTACTGCTATTTAAGGCAATTTCTGGTAATTTTACTGAGCATCTGACCTACTTTATTGAGTATTAGGAGGCTAACAATGAGTTTCACGACATTTGCTTCATATATTCTAATTCTTTTTCTTATTTTTTCTATTTAAAAACTTATTAAACTATATCTATAATCAACTCTTATTAATTTCAATATGTCAGTCTAATATAATATGATACTTTTGAAATATGCATTGATATGACATTGTAAAAATGAGCTTTACATTAGTACCAAATGAGCATACATAATTACAAAGTGTACATTGTTATGAAAATCATAAGGTTTTGTTAGTTGAACATCACGCCACTTTAATTGAGCATCAAATATTCGCTATTGAGATGAAAACCACAATTTATTGTGAATGAGCATTAATGAACTTTTAATGAGCATCCGGTCTATTACGTTGAGTATTAGGAGTTTAATATATGAGCATAAGATCGGTATCAGATGAACATACGTAACTAACAAAATGAGCACTAATGAATTTGTCAGTTGGTTTGTTAGTTGAAAATCACGATATTTTCATTGAGCATCAAACCTCCTCTAATGAGATGGAAATAATAGTTTCATAAGCATTGATATGACATTTTAAAATGAGCATAACAGTAGTCCCGAATGAGTATACATATATTATAAAATGGGCATTTTTTATCATATATTATAAAATGAGCATTCAAAAATTCAAAAGCTCACTAAAAACCCCTGATGCGCTCAAATATTCATTTGCGTAACAACTAACAAAGAAAAATATAATAAATTATAGTATCGAAATAATTTATAATGTGTTATTCTTCAATTACAAAACTAATCATAATGTTGGTACTGACGAAATGAGCAACGAAAAGATTCAAATAACTCATTTGAAAGTTACAGTATGCTCGGATTTTCATTTGTGTACCTCATTTGAATTCTCTAGTGTGCTCAAATTTTCATTTGTGTATGCTCATTTGATTTTTCTAACGTGCTCAAATATCCATTTATGTATGTTCAATTCTTTTAACTGTCATACACATTTATTATACTTAGTTACTCACTATACTCATTTTCAATATATAACATACAACTTATATTAATAATTGATAAGCTCAAAATTTTAACACACATACTAAAATATAATATTAAAATACACATATTAAATTTTAACATATACGGTACTATTAATATCTTGGAATTGAGAACTAAAATAGTCCGTTCAATACTTTGTGTTGGGGATAGAAGGCCACAACCACACAACGCTGAATCCACAACCTAATTCCCTTCGTCCAAACACCCAGCGAGCAACAGTGGAAGAAAATCCCAGAACTTCAGCGAGCGAGCAGATCGACGCCTCCTTCAGACCTCAGCGAGCGAGCAGATCGGCGCCTCCTTCAGACCTCAGCGAGCGAGCAGATCGACGCCTCCTTCATCAGACCTCATCGAGCGAGCAGATCGATGCCTCCTTCATCAGACCTCATCGAGCGAGCAAATCGACGCCTCATTCATCAGGCCTCACCGATCGAGCAGCATGGGAAGAACAGAGCTAAATAACATTTACATGGGAGTTGTAATTAATTGCAAAAATACCCGGTTGTACGGTGAGCACCGTACAACCGGGTGTATGGTATAATTTACCACATTTGCTTAGATGACAAATAAAAGCATGACACGTGTAAAATTTAAACTGCATTAAAAAAATTAATTTTGATAATTCCATAGTTGCATTTGAGTACTTTTGCAAAAGGCTCTGGTTTTGGACGGTGCATTATCGGCCTTCCATAGCTGCAGTCTGGAGCACGTACGCAAGTCATACTTCCTCCATAATTAAGTGCTTCTTCGCCCTATCCATATTTTCTCGATGAACCCATGATGCAGAAGATAGAAAATGACTAGTTAGCACTTAGCATAGCCGCACGCTCCTCTTCTCAAGGCCTGAAGCAAAGGCGGACTTTATTTGACAACAATGGAAATTCTCATCTAAAACTCCTTCTCCAGCGGTCAACGGTGGTATCTGTGAAAAACGGGCTTCCTCTTCTGGTGCGCAGGCGGCACTCCAGGCTTCTAGCAACAATTTTCGGCAAACACCTACATGTCCGGCAACTCCACGGCGGTGGAAATCATCCGGATAACCGCCTCTTTCTCCTTTCCTCCCTCTCTAGGCTCTTCTTTCTGCCACGTCGGTGGTTTGAATTGCAACCTTTCAGGGCTCAAGGTTAAATTTGCCAGCCGGCGACATGCCATAATATAGGATGGTGATGTGGCAACATAATATAATTTGATTGGCTTACAAAAGTTGGGTGCCGGTGCCTCTTAAATTAAGAAAGGTGCGGTAGAAATTTCCTTGAGAAAAAGGGTGCCATTGGATGATACAAGGAAAGGAATCAAGGCGGTTGACTCGCATAAGTAGTTAATATTCTAACGGTATTTAAGAAAGTAATCAAGGAGGACAAATTAGGAAGAAGATAAAAACTTTTTATATATTTATTTCATTACATATTTATGTCCACCACTTTTAAAATGGTATTATTTTCAGATTTTTTTCTAACCTTTCCATAAAATTTCTATAAATTGTTCCACGATGCGAATTTAATTACTATGATTATGCACATTTTTTACCGGAAAAAATGGTCCCGGGCCGGTACAAACAGTACCAGTCCCAGGCCGGTCCTAGATCAGGCCGCCAGGACCTAGTCCATCCCTAAACCGAACTATACGCTACCTAAAATTCACTTTCGAAATGGGACAATTATAATGCTACTCACCCAATCCGTTTTGTTCTTCATGTTTACCTTCTGCAGTGTTTTTAAACTATTGACATTACGAGGTTAAGATTTACATAAAAGAAAAAGAATTACTGTAATCTAAAACACAAAACTCTTTCTCAAAAACTTTTTTAGGAAAGTGGGAAAACACTTGAGGAGTTGAGGGTAGGGGTGGTGGACCCAGTCCCGGTCCAGTCCCAGACTAACCGGTCCCAGTCATTGGTAGGAGATGCCCAGTTAAATCCAAGTATGGACCGGTTCCATGTACCTAGGCGGTCCCGTCCAGGTCCGGACCCGGTCCTATTCTATTTTTTCATTTTCCGGTTTTCCCCCATTTCCAAGCCAAAAAAACTAGCTTAGGAGGATTATGGGCAGTCTCAGGCCCGAATTGGATTATCCAGACCCGGTCTGGTCCCCAACATTGCCGGACCCAGTTCTGGACCTGGCCGGACCGGGTTTGTCCCTACTTGAGGGACAGGAGTTGCGGACAGCATCCATATATCTCTCAATTCAAAGTCTGTTGGTTACATAAAATTCAGCATAATTTCTTTGCTATATCAGTGAAAGACAGTGAAATCTCAGTTCAACATCAAAAGTAGAGCCAGTCAGCATTAGAAGAGTGTACTTCCCTTCAACCAGAGAACAACTTTTCAGTCTCAATATTATTCTTATTTCAAAAAACAGAAGAATATATTTGCAACTCTGGTGTACTTTTAACAGTAGTCTTTGATTCTCATTTGTTTGGAGTTGCATCTTCTGATGATGGCACATTGCTTCCATCTACACATAATAAACCATAACGAGAGGTGAGCCAGCAAAAATTCAATGAAGATGGCAGAAATGAAACTGCAACAACTAGACAGTTGACAATTATAGGAGTAACAATGGCAAAGAATCTTGTTATGTGAGAATTGCCCCCTGACATAGCCTTTTCTTCTTTCAGCCACCGACACTTCTGATGGGAAAGAATATGTGTAGTTCTTGCATCACAAAAGCCAATCATTCCTATGTACCTTTACATTCATTTGGAGTTGCATCTTCTGGTAATGGCACACTGCTTCCATCTACAATAAACAATAATGAGGTGAGGCTGCAAAAAATAAATAAACAGGGCAGAAATGAAACTGCAACAACTACACAGTTGACAGTTATAGGAGTAACAATGGCAAAGAAGTCTTGTTATGCGAGAATTGCCCCCTCATGGCCTTATCCCCCTTCTGCCACTGCCACTTCTAATGACAAAGAATACGTGTAGTTCTTGGACCACAAAGGCCAATCATTCCTATGTACCTTCACCTTCGTTTGGAGTTGCATCTTCTGATGATGGCACATTGCTTCCATCTACACATAATAAATAATAATGAGAGGTGTGGCAGCAAAATTTCAATAAAGAGGGCAGAAATGAAACTGCAACAACTAGACAGTCGACAGTTATAGGAGTGACAATGGCAAAGAAGTCTTGTTATGTGAGGATTGCCCCCTGACATGGCCTTTTCCCCCTTCTGCCACCGACACTTCTAATAGGAAAGAATATATGTACTTCTTGCATCACAAAAGCCAATCATTCCTATGTACCTTCACCTTCTGTCGGGGCACAAGGCGATTTGCGATATCGTGTTTGCTGTTGTGTTGGCTATATCAGAAATATTTAAAAAAAAAGCATAAGATGAGTAAGTTGGCAGAACTGAAATACAATAATGAAGACAATGGAGCTAGAGATTGGGGACTGGGCAAGTATGCAAAGGTAGGATAGATGAAATGCCTAAATAGAAAATGCTATCTGCAACAATGTCATAAAAATTTACTTGCTGACTCTATATCATACCAATTCTATCAAGGAAAAACAAACTTGATCAACTGAATAAAAAGTGAGATTTCAACCAAGAGTCCAACCGAATAAATACTACCTTCGTCCAATCAAGTTTGGGTGTGAATAAGAAAAGTAAAAATTGTGTGGTTGAGGTTTGTGCAGAGAGAGGAGAGAGAAATAGGCAGAACCACAAAATAATTACTTTGAAGGATAAGTCATAAGTGGCAAAGTTTTTGGGACAAACAAAAATGGAAATTTGGCAAAGTCCTATGGGACGGAAGGAGTATGTTTTTGTTTATTTTACCAAAAAAACTTCTGCCCAATGGGACGGAAGGAGCAAGTTTTTGTTTAGTTCACCAAAAAAAATTGATATAAGAGTATAACACCTTGAATTGGTTAATATTGGAAAATGTAGGGATGCATGTACTTTTTAGCTGAAGTTGATAATGACCATTTAATCCTTCTTTCACGTATTTTTATTCGTTATTTTGTCACACAAGTATATATAATTATTTTGTTTAAATAAACCAGCAGTTTCAGCAACTTCATTAATACCAGCCAAACGAGCAGCTTTAATCCTTTTCTATTCATCTTGTTCTGGAAAGTTTGTACTAAAAAAAATCTAACACTGGAACACTCATCTTATATACAGCTCAAATAAAACTCTCCATAGCTCCATCATATGCAGACAGAGACATATTTGAAAGTGGTAAATGTTTTTCTATAAATAGTAATCATTATTAATTAAAAGGCACTGTACAACTAAGATTGAAATTAATAAGCAAGGATGTAATAGCATAGTATGTTACCTGCAACTTTGGTCGAAGTGCTTCCAATGGACCCTTAGGCTTCGCTGCACCTTGCTATGATCATATTTATACGTTAGCTACTGAATTGTGAAGTGCATTAGTTTCAGATAACAACAGCTAAATGACAAGCGCAGACAAAACTACCTTTCCAAGAGCCCAATCAGCAGAATCAAAATAAGCACGTTCATGGTCCTGAAGTTAAATTATTATAGCTATTCATTAAAAATTGAAGAACAAGAAACATTATGCATAAAGTCTAGCACAGTTGATAGAGATAAAATATGCAACATACTAATTTCGAAAACTACCTTCGAAATCAATGGGGGCTTCTTAGACATGAGTGGTCCATACTTGCTCTTAATAACAACATCCTCCTACAGAGACACAAGCAGGCAAATGTCAAACAAAGTTCAATAGATACATGAACAGTACTGCAAGCATTTAAATATTAGTGGAATCACAACTTCCTGCTTAGAAGGTGTCTTGGGATTTTCAATGCCACCTGAAACAGCTTCAGTTTTTACCTCCTCCATGCCTGAATTCTTTCACCAAACTAGTAAACGATATCTGCAGCAATACAACAACAACAACATCCAAGCCTTAGTCCCAAAAGATATTGGGGTCGGCTTACATGAATCCATACATGATATTACCAGCAATGTGCAACTTTTTTTAATAAGGCTTCTTCAATACATATCATTTTGAAACAGGCATGTCTCAACCAAAATCAATAATAACATGGACAAGCAAAAAAAAGTTTAAAAATGATGGTTGGAACGTATACATTAAAAAAAATAGATTGAAGCAAAAAAAAGGCGTCCTGTATCATTTGAAACAAGCTGCTATCACAGGAAGCAAGACATTTTCTTTTTTCATTTCTCAGACTATCCAAATCTATATCACCATTTTTACACCAAAGTGGTGTGAACATCACACCAGACAATATTTTTACTTCAATCCATTTCACCATTGTTATCTCCAATGAAGAATATTCCCTTTATAATCTATTCCACTCTAATCATTGTACCATTTTCTTATTTCTAAAGAAAAAAGCGGAAAAGCAAATAAGCACAACAACATCTATACATCAATTCTGATACCGTACTGTTCTTATTACACGAGAGGGGGGGGAATAGTGCACACAATTGGAATTTGGGTGCATAATTTTGTCGTCATGTTCAGGTGTTCTTACATTATTCATCGTGTCAAAATCTAGAATTGATATCAATTCATCTAGGTTAATGCAGTAGGAAATAGTTCAAATGACTCATAATGGTTTGTTCAAGGTGTATTACAGCCACTATGTGCTAGACATGATTGTGCTTGTATTATTCAGCTGTAGTGTATTAGGTTGTGCTGTCTTCACTTTATTGTTTCTAGTTTCTACTTATTACTCAATACTTATTTTAATCAAACCAGGCAGATAGCATTAAGATCAGGCAAACTATTATTTTCCAAACAAGAAAAGGATAAGAGCAAATTCCCAAACTATCAATATTCAGATTAAAACAATTCTAGAAAATTCAGATCAGGCATATTCCCAAACGGAGAGAACAGATCAATAGTTACAAGCTAACAGCTATATGTGACTTGTAGGGCTTTCTTTTACTTTGTTAGGTGAAATTTTAAACTACATTTTCTCGCATCTGAGACGTTGGTTTGGGCCAAAAGAATACTGAAATGGCCAGACCTCATAAAAATCTTGAAAGTGACTGAAACTTGTAGATTGCTGTATCTAAGGCGCCTGAGAAGCATTTCTGCAGAACTATTTTGTTTTAAAAACTTGTAGATTAAGCTGGACCGCCTGGGATAACTGTTCCCTTCTGACAATGATGATGCCACTATGACATCATCAAGATGTCGATGTGACGCTGTAACGATCTCATACAGTTAATCTGGAGAACTTTGGCTCTCATCCGCACTAAGGCAACACTGCCGGAGTATCGGTTGGTCATTATATTACAGCTTATTACAACTCCTTAATTTAGAAAATTATTCATAGTTTAACTGAAAGAACAGATAAAGAACGAACCTGAACAACAACCTCTAAGCTTGATCTATTCACGGCTGATAAGATATAAAAAGATATGTACGAACAAACAAAGCAAGATGCTATAAAATAAGAACAGTTAGTAATAATCGACTAACCTCGGGATACTAGACGAACGGAGAGAGCAGTATAGCGTACGACCGTCTGGATGAGAGATGAGCGGTACAGAGATGGTAGATCGGATAAATTGGTTCAATGGTAGTAGGATCGGGTTATTCCAATTTCCAGATCTTGGGCATCTGATTTTAGTACTCGTTTTCTTTGCATATCCTTCTTCTTTGTCATTGCTTTAAAAAATGATTTTAAAATAAATTTCAAGAATGTACCTCTAAAAGTTGATAGTGTTTAAAAAAAATATTTAAAAAAAAATAGTTGATAGTGTTCAATAAAATATATTTTCTTCGTATTTTTTTTTGCTACACTTTTCTATTTTTAGTAAGTTTTTCGTTTAAAAAACTCAATTACTTTTATTTTTTCTGCCTTTTATTTCTCTTTCATACTTTTTTCACTATTTCTCCTATTTCTTCTACATTATTCATTACACATACTAATTCACTCTTAAAAAATGTGTACGAGCCTATTGTAACAAACAAACAAAATATGGAGGTAGTATGTTTTTTGTATAATTAAAAAGGTAAAAAAGAAGTTTTCAGTTTTTAGTTTTTAATCGTTTAGTTTATATAGATATTCCCATTTAAAAACACTCATTTTTACTTTTTTAATTCAAAATCTGAAAGTCATTTTTTTAAAATTGTTTGAAACACACCCTAAATCTATTCTGTTTTAATACTCAATGTTTTGCATAATCTTCTAAGAAAACGTAATGTCAACATCGATTAAATTAATTCAATATAATGAAGTTCTAGTTGAACCGACTCACTTCACTAATTTGTTGATTTGCTAAAATATATTTTTTAAAATATTTTGTAATGATAAATGAAGAAAAATTCTTATGAAAAATAACTACTAATAGATTATTTAATGTTAGAGAGTAATGAGAGTTAGAGAGAAGGTGAACAATTAATATTTCTCAAACCTCTATAACTACCCCTAGGGGAGCTATTTATAGGAGAAAATGTGGATTTGGACTCCTAGCCTTGGGCTTAATAGATCCTTACAATAATAAAGTCTCTAATAGGCGTAATAAAGTCTCTAATGGGCTGAGTACATGATTTACTTGGCTAAGTATAAAAATGGGGAATTTAGTCAATTTACAGTTATACCCCACTTTTTGGTTGATATTGGACTTTGCAACCAATTTTCAAAACTTTTAGACTTTGCACCCTGTCTACAACATTTTGTAAATAAAATTTCTTCAATGGGGTGCAAAGGCATTTTAGAGGAAATAAGTAGGAGTTATGAAAATGGGATGCAAAGTCGAATATGACCTAAAAAGCGGGGTGCATAATCAAAATATCCCTATAAAAATCTATCTTGCCTGAGTGTTTCTGGCCGATGAAGCACCTTCTGGCCGACGGAGTGCCCCAACCCGAAGGAGTGCCAGGCCGACGGAGGACCCATTTTGCTCCTGGGCCTCCAGACCATATTCTGAGCTACTTTGGTTCTAGCCGACAGAGGACCCATTTTGCTCCTGGGCCTCTGGACCATATTCTGAGCTACTTTGGTTCTAGCCGATGGAGGGCCCATATGGCCGAAGGAGTGTCACATGGGGTGTCAATCTTCAGTCTTTCGATCCTTTGAGTATGTGGGTCAAGGGGCATGAGCTCATATACTCTGTCAACTACAATAATGTTCTAAAGTAACTTCACTCAATTTAATCACAAATGTTATTTAAAAGTTAAAACTTACTTATGTTGATTATTATATGATTCAGCGAACAAAATCAAAAGTTATGTGTTAGATAAACAAAAACGATTGATAACACTAATAAGCTAAATATATTAGTTGCCAAACATGCTCTTAATAGTTTTAATATTTGTTTATCATCTTAATAGTTTAAAATTAGAAAGTAAATGTTACAGTTAGTAATAAAAAATTAAAACTAATACATTATACGTAGTATATTTTAAATAGCATACACTAACCTAAAATTTAACTTACATGTAAATTTCACTCACTTCGTTGGTGGTGAGATCAGTCTATGGTGGCAACGGTGGATTCCAGCGGTGGTGGCATCGGATTTCTGTCAGCTCAGGGGAAGTCTTCAGGAGAAAAATCAGTAGCCGACAGCCGGCAAGGTTCCATCGATCCGAGCACCCCAGGGGAAGCAGCTCTAACCCTATAGAGGTATTTTGTGTGATCACAAATAAAAATTACGGAGTAATATTTAAGGAAATTTAAATTATTTGATTCTTTTTTTAGAAAAAGGAGAAAATAATATAAACATCTCAAACTTTGAAAGGGTGTGATAAGTATTTCAAATTTGTACATGTAATATACATACCCCAAACTTTAATGAAAAATTAATATTAGCACCATGGTTATATAATTTTTCACAAATGTAATTTTATGATGTTAAGTACATAATTTAAAATACACATAACATTCATGAGGTTGCAATAAAAATTAAATTGTACTAGATGTAATATTATTTATTTCACAAATTAAATTTTAGAATGTTAGTTGCATCCTAACAAAGCCTAGGAGTATTTTAAATTATATAGTTATTCCAATGAATTGGTATTTTTTAAAAAATATACAAACATAGTGCAAAAATAACATGAAACAATGGACAAGAATAATCTCAACTATTAATGATCTGTTTGAAATAATCTAAAGTATAAATTATCTCAAAATAAAATAATCCCAATTATTGAAAAGTACTTCATCCGTCCCGATATAAAAGACACACTTTCTTTTTTGGATTGTCCTTATATAAAACGTTCATTTTCCTTTTTGGCAAACAAAATAGTGCAAAACTTTGCGAAACAGTGTCCAAACATTGTCAAACAATGTTCTTCCTAAAGATATGCGCAAAAGTAAACGTGTCCGTACTCCGTATAATTGTAAAAGTATATTTATATTCAGGTGTCAGGATTTACACTCCCATAATCCTGGAGTGTATGAATTTATCTCCAAAGTTTAATAGACAATTAATTCCTGGTCTGATCACAATCACAGGGAGTGTTTGCAACTGCTTCTGCTTTAAAAAAAGCACTTTTGGAGATGTAAGGAAAAAGTGATTAGTAGTAAAAGTTGATAGTGTTTGAGAAAAAAGTGATTTTGAAAAGTAAAAGTTGGTAGTGTTTGGTAAAATAAGTGCTTTTTGTGTAATAGAAAAGGGAAAAGCACTTTTCACACGCAAGCCGAGAAAAAGTAAAAATTGGTAGTGTTTGGTAAGTAAGTGCTTTTTAAAGCCAAAAGCTGAGAAGTGCTTTTTTTAAGCAGTTGCAAACACTCCCACAGTCGAGTTCTGGCCAGAACGAATTACATCACCTTTTTATCCGGCCAGTTCCTCCCACCACAAAGTAAGTAATTCAAGATTCTCAGTCAATTAACTTTTATAGCTCCTACGTATCAACAGTTGCTGGTTTACCAGAGCCATGAACCTCAGCAACTCCACGGTCGCCGCCGGGCAGTATTCTCCGGAGCACATCGTTGGTGCTTGGTATTCTGTGCCGGAACTCAGGCTTCGTGACCACAGATTCACCGTTCCTCTCGACCACTCAAGAGATTCCCGTGCTTCCCCTACCATCTCTATTTTCGCTCGCGAGGTCGTTGCTGGTATATGCCTCTTGCTACTTTTTCAGTTACATCTTCCATATTATACATGATTTTACTGATTATCGTGGTACACTTGGACTGAGTTATCTTATGTGCGATATTACCGATATACGAACTCAAACGGTGTTCCGGTTGATCATTTCAGTATATCACGATATACTGAGTATTATGTTTATTGGTTTAAAAAATATCATTGTTGTTATTATTATTAGCACTAGTACTACTACTATTACTATTGGTGAAAGTTTTGTTCCTTTGCATTTGATGAACTACAAAAAAGCTGGAAAGGAAGAATTTTCTCTACCATATCTGGTCTACTTGCAAGGTGGTCCAGGGTTTGAATCTCCACGGCTAACTGAATCCAGTGGATGGATAAGTAAAGCTTGTGAAGAATTTCGTGTGATTTTAATGGATCAGGCATGCTCTTCCCCTTTTCCTCTTTCGCGGATACAAATGCAAAAGTTACTTGTAAATATTATATACTTAGTTGTTGATGTGCTTACTTGCAGCGGGGAACGGGCCTATCCACGCCCTTGACAACATCATCTATGTCACAAATGAATTCTGCTGAAGAATTAGCAAATTACTTGAAGCACTTTCGAGCTGATAACATAGTATATGATGCTGAGTTTATCCGCAAATGCATTGTTCCTGATGCCGGACCATGGACAGTCTTAGGCCAGGTAATTTTTTCTCAAGTGCCCTTCAGAAATTGTTTAATGAACCTTTTTATGCATAGTTGAGGTACTCACCAACAGATAGACATCAGGCAGTGAGTATATGTGTTGATGACAGTGCATTGATGGTTTTCAGATATACTTTCTGTGTATATGAGTTTTTCTTTTCAATATGTTAATGATAATCCGTTACATTTTTGTTCAGAGCTTTGGAGGATTTTGTGCAGTCACTTATCTGAGCTTTGCTCCACAAGGACTGAAACAAGTTCTAATAACAGGTGGACTCCCTCCAATCCAAAATGGGTGCACTGCTGACCAAGTATACAAAGCAGGCTTTGAGCAACTCATTCTTCAGAATGAAAAATACTACAAGAGGTTTCCTCAGGATATTGAAATCGTTCAAGATGTTGTAAATCACTTGGCAGAATATGAAGAAGGAGGGGTGAGGAAACTATAAATGTGGAATATTATTTTGATAATGATAATTTGAATCATTTATGGACATTCATTGATTCATTTAGCTTGTTTCTCCCAATCTTTTGTATATTTGAACTGTAGGTGCCCCTTCCTTCAGGTGGCATTCTAACACCCAGAGGAATACAATTGCTCGGTCTCTCAGGTTTAGGATCCAGTACTGGTTTTGAACGCTTGCACTACATGTAATTATTATCCTTCTTTGCTGTTTCTTTGGCAGTCCAGAGGTACAAAATATAATCTCTCCCTTTTATATTTTATAAATTCATACAATGACCAATAGGTTTGAGCGTGTTTGGGATCCTATAATAGCTCCAGGAACAAAAAGGAGAATCAGCTACTGCTTCTTAAATGCTGTAATGGAATACACTTGATCCTTGAGATGTGCGCACACACTGTTTTACTTCTTTTTCAGCAGATAAGTTGAGTATGCTTTAAACAATTGCAGTATGAAAGA